ATTATTATTATTATTATTATTATTATTATTATTATTATTATTTATTACTAACCCTGGAAAAGAAATCAAAGAAACCAGTGCAAGCAAGCAAGCAAGCAAGCTATGCTGCTTTTCTCTGTTTTGTAAGCTTGGGAAGAAAAGCTACTCTTTCCTTGCACCCCACCCCTTGCTTGGAGAAACAAAGTTATTTCTGAATGGAGTTTTTAATTATCTCCCCATCTTCACAAGGTTGCAAGTGGAGGCATCGTTGCTTGCTCCCCCCCCCCCCCCCCCCCCCCCCCCCCCCCCCCCCAGCGAGGGGAGGGGGCGCGGCCTGCCCCCCCCCCCCCCCCCCCCCCCACACACACACACAATAGGGAGAAGGGAAATGTTCTGTCGAGAGCACCTCACTTTTCACCAGCAGCGCTAAATCGGAATTTCAGGATGCTAAGCAAAGGCTGGTAGCCAAAACTACAAGCAGCTGCATGAGAAGGGAATTCCCCCAGTGAGCAAGGGCTCCAACACTCCAGAGCAAACACTCTGCACACAAGCATGTATGCTCTTTCCGCCACAAAACGAGGCTCATTAGCATGCGCTAGTGAAGATATCCTACTTCTTCCCGAGCTCCACAGCCCTGCAAGGATCTCTTCAAGCAGCACCTAATGCGACCGGTTTTAAACATTCTTCCTTGCAGCCTGCACTGGAATGTAACCAGCACTCTGTGGAAATGCTTGGAAGCCTCTGCCCTGTTTGTCTTTTTCTTTCTTTCTTTAATGTGAGATGAACTTTCAATCAATGATGCCTCTCCGTCTCCGGCTCTCTTTGAAATCTAGGAATCCTTCTTTGCCTGTTCACACACGTTTTCCTAGAGTGCGACTTCTCCCTGCGCAAAGGGTTAGAAATGCTGGATTTTCAAGTAATTCTTTCTTCTGGTGCTATGCTTTAACATTTTTGTTTTTTTTTAGTGAGATTAACCTTTTTCTTTCTCCCTCCTTTTTTTTTTTTTTTTTTGAAGTTATTCCTCTGCATTTCTTTCTTCACATTCTTGCGTTATGAGGGTAGATTGGGAAAGAACTGGCCCTAGTATTGATCTGTAATTATTTTCCCCTGCCTCTTGTTCCTACGGAAGTACATTTTTTCTGAATAATTCCTGTAATAAGTTGAATATATACCCCAAACCTCTGCTCCATACAAGAGCATGGGGCAATTGCAATCTCAGATTATGACTAGGGAAAACCTGGGTTCAAATCTACTCTTAGAGAAGTAGCCCAGTGTCTTCTCTTAGCCCAATCTACCTCGCAGGCTTGTTGTTGAGGAAACACCAAAAAAAGGGGGGAAGTGTTTTGTCCATCCCCTTAAGCTCCAGAAATAAAGTTTATCAAGAATTAAGTGCACTTGTTTCAAACAGATTTTTGAAACTCATGGTGAAAACAAATGGACCTGTTCAAGGTAGTCCAGACAGGAAGCACAGCTATGAGTGCTAACTCTTTGTTTACTGTAAGATTAATTAACACAATCTTGCAAGCCTAAAAGTATTTCTCTAAAAGTCTTCTCCTTTTACTCTCTGGAAAACTAGCTGCTTCCCAGTCTCCTCTCTTTGGTGGGCTAAGCTATATTTTACTTGAGAGTTGTCCAGTCTGAGGTCCTTCCTCTTGTCTCCCGAGGGCATTCTCACATATCAGTTCACCTAACTTTTGTTCATAGCTACATAAAGTAAATCTGCAGTCTGGGTGTAAATCTGCAGTCTGGGTGCAAATTTGCAGTTCTCATGGCTATTTCCCCACTAGCATTAAAAGTATAGCAGCTGCATTTGTAAAACATCTAGAGAGCCAGACCAAAACACCTCAGCTTCTAAGCAGCACTCTGTCAAAGGTTCCCAGGAAGAAGAATAATGCTCATTACTCAGAGCATCTATAGAGATTCTGAGTCATCCAGTTCATTGTTGTCCCAAATGTGCTTTTTCCCCCCTCAAAAGGCAAGTGGACTTTCCAAGACAAAAAGCACCTTTGGGGCATTACTCAAAGTGTATCATGAGTGCTCTTCCAATTGACAGGATAAAGAGAAGAGTTTACACCCCAGGGAGCTAACAACAGAGGAAGGAAACACAAGCAGGAGTAAAGATTTGAGTACATTGTCCTTTCATTTACATGTCTTTAGATTTTGGTTCAGGAAGGAAAGACGAGGGGATTAAGGGATTCTGCCAGCAGACCAGACCAGCCTCCCAACCCTGGCTACATCTCAGCATCTGATGTAACCTGAGGTAGGAACACTCCATAATCCAACAATGCACCAAAGCTCTAGCCACTACTGCAACATTTTAACACACCTGGTCTGCAAAGTTTAGCCTGTGCGCTTCTAGAAGGAAATCTTCTCCATTTCAGCACTTCAAGGTATTGGAAAAACCCCATTTTTTTTTTAAGATGAGCTATACCGAGGCTCTCCTCTGTCCAGAACCCACTTGGCTCAATCATGTCAGGTTGAAACTTTGGGGGGTGGGGGGCACATGTCTGACTAGAAGACTTCCAAGGTCCCTTCCAACTCTTTGACTCCCAACAGAACCACCAACGCATCTGAACATTAAAGGCTTCTGAGCCAAATCCTTTGCCGCTGTCGCCCCCACCTCAACCCCCAGCAAGACGAGAAAGAGGATGCCCGTTCGAAACGTGGGAAGCTCAAGGAAAATACCAACCCTGGTTGAAGGTGCCGAGGCTACTGCTGTCACCGGGTAACGCTGCCGCCACGACGCCGCAACAGAGGCAGCACAACTGGAGAATCTGCAAAGAGAGAGAGAGAGAAAGGGGGAGAAAAGGAATGAAAGGGGGGAAACGCAAAAAAAAACCCAGAAAGAAAAAGAAAGAAAGAAAGAAAGAAAGAAAGAAAGAAAGAAAGAAAGAAAGAAAGAAAGAAAGAAAGAAAGAAAGAAAGAAGAGAGAGGGAGGGAGGGAGAAAGAAAAGAGAAAAGAAAAGAAGGAAGGAAGGAAGGAAGGAAAGAAGGAAGGAAGGAAGGAAGGAAAGAGAGAGGGAGGAAGGGAGGGAGAAAAGAAAGAAAATAAAAGAAGGAAGGAAGGAAAGAAAGGGAGGGAAGGAGAAAGAGAGAAGATAAAAGAAAAGAAGAAAGAAAGAAAGAAAGAAAGAAAGAAAGAAAGAAAGAAAG